GGGGGGGGTGGGAGGGGGAAGGGGGAGGAAGGTGGCAGGACAAGCTGCAGTATCATCACCCAACACTCTTGTCTGCTTGCCTGTACCCTACCTCGTCCTTCCAGCTATCTCTTCCCCTCCTCCACCACGCCACCACTCGTGATCGAACACTGTGGTGATCGATCACCGCTGCTGTGATTGATGGCCATGGACATGTCTAGCTGTGATGGATGGGCCATAGCTTGTCGTCCCCCTCCTCAGTACCATCGCCACGTTGTGGAGTCTGAAGATGGTATTGGTCTCTGTCTCACTCACTCACACTCGTTCGTTCACTCGTTTGTGTTGGATGTGAGGTCAGCCCGCGGCGGACTCGTTCACCTCGCCAACAAAGGCGGGGTACGTGGTGAAGCCAAAGTCGATGCTGCACTCTGCGAAAAAGGTGTATGTGGTGGCGGACTCGCGGACGTTTTACGTGTTCAAGTCGTCGCACGACGATGCGGCGCAGGAAGAGTACGATCTGCGATCAACACCGTTTGAGCTGCTCTCGGCCAAGAAGAAGTTTGGCTTCAAGCTCGGCTCCAAGGCTGTCTTTCTCACGGCCAAGGCCAAAGACGCGCAGGCGTGGATTGCGGCGCTGACTGAGGCGCGCGACGAAAAACCTGGCGGCAAAGACTCGGATGACGGCATGGGAGCGGAGGAGGTTGACGACGTGGCCGGCTCTGCAGGCTTTGCGCTCAACGAGCTCCCAATTTCGGCGCATCCGGACCGAGTGACGCTGCTCGCATCATGGAAGGCTGACGTGGACGGGGCGTCGGGCTCGCCGTCAACGCCAGTCGAGTACGACTTTGACATCAACCTCCCGACGGAGGAGCAGATCCAGGCGGTGATTGATCTTGTGGGAGCCCCGCATGAGGCGTCGCAAGCGGCGCTGCTTGTGGAGGAGGTCAACGAGTACCTCTCCGAGCCCGGGTTTGAGGGCGTGTACCGGAGCCTGTGCCAAAAGTTCGACTCGGCGCACTTGCTTGTGGTGACGCACCCGGACATCCGGGCAGCGCGCGAGTACGAGCGACTCTCTGATCCGGCGCTGCTGGACGACAGCTCACCCGAAGCGTCGCGCGAGCTCAAGATGGCGGTCTTCCAGCTCAAGGGCAAGCTGGCTGACGGCGACTTTGCGGACGAGTTTATCAACCTGGGCGGCATGACGGCGCTCATGAACATTGTGTCTGCGACGGACGGCAACACGCAGTCGTACGCGCTCAACGCACTTCGCGCGGCTATGGGCTACGTCACCGGAATCAAGGAGGTGTTTGACGATCCTGCGCTAGTGACGCAGCTTTTTGAGCTCGTGGAGCAGGACTTTTCGGAGGAGTCGTCGATCACGGTGCCACGGTCTGCGCTGGCGCTGCTCATTGTGCTCACGGCAACGGCGTCCAACTTTGGGCTCGACGGCTTTGAGCTCATTACGCGGGCGGCGGTGACTGCAGCAGAGCGGTCCAACTCTGTGCCGTACAAGTGCCTCGCTGAGTTTCTGCAGCCCGGCGATGTGGAGACAAACATCAATGCGCTGATGCTGATCAACACGATGCTCTCGCTTGCGCCGAGCGAGGAGGAGCGGGCCGAGCTGGTGGAGAAGCTGGAGGTGTTTGGCGCGTCCAAGGAGCTGGCCAAGCAGGCTGAGCAGGTGCGATTCAAGTCGTGGCGAGTGCAAAGCGAGCGGTACCAGGACCTGACAGGCATTCCGATTTTCCCCAAGATGATCCGGCTCATGAACCGCGTTCGCGACGCCGAGACGCAGCTGGAGCAGTTCAAGTCGCGCGAGCCGCTTGTGCGTGTCCTCCATCACCGACTCAACCGTGCGCAGACGGTGGTGCAGGAGGCACTCTCGTCGCAGTCGCTCGCCAAGCTCGCGGACTTTGCCAAGGTTCAGGAGGTGTCTGCCGAGAACGGGATCACCAACCTGATGGAGTATAAGACTGAGGACGAGGCTACGCTGCTCCGCGAGATTGCAACGCTCAACGCGGCGCTCGACGATCGCAAGCTGGACGTGGAGCGGCTGACCGGGGCGCTGTCGGGCGCCAAGGCCGAGCTGCGGAGCCTGGAGGAGCAGCACGCCGAGTGCGGGACGACGATTGCTGGGCTGGAGGCAGCCAAGGCGACGGCCGATGCGGCTGTTGCGGCCGCGCGCGAAGAGGTGACCAAGGCCAAGGCCGAGGCCGAGGAGGCCATCAAGGCCGCAGCAGAGCTGCCGCCGCTTCCGCCGCCGGACGAGCCGTCGGCGTCGGGCTCGTCGGAGCTCGACCAGGCGCTGGAGAAGGAGAAAGCGCAGTCTGCGCTGCTGCAGAAGAAGATCGAGGCCAAGGACAAGGAGATTGCCCAGCTGAAGAAGGATCTTGAGGCGGCCAAGGCAAGCGGAGGCGGCGGAGGTGGAGGCGCGCCGTCTGCGCCACCGCCGCCCAATACTGCCGCGCCGCCGCCGCCGCCGATGCCCGGAGGAGCGCCACCGCCGCCGCCGCCGTCGATGCCCGGAGGCGGTCCGCCGCCGCCGCCGCCGCCGATGCCCGGAGGAGGGCCGCCGCCGCCGCCGCCGCCGATGCCTGGAGGAGGGCCGCCGCCGCCGCCGCCGCCGCCGGGAGGCGGCCCGCCGCCGCCGCCGCCGCCACCGGGGGGAGGGCCGGGAGGCCCGCCGCCGCCGCCGCCGCCGCCCGGAGGAGGCCCGCCGCCGCCGCCAGGCATGATGGCGCCGCGGCAGATGGGCCGGCCGAAGATCAAGCCGCGTGTCAAGATGCGGCCGCTGTTCTGGAAGAAGTGGAAGAAGAAGCCGGCGCACTCGCCGATGTTTGTGCCGACGATCTGGGAGGACATGGAGGACATTCCGCTCGACGCAGACGAGATCGAAGGCCTGTTTGGCAAGCAGGCGAACGCTGCTGCTGCGGCGGCGCCCAAGGTGGAGAAGGCCAAGCCCAAGTTCCAGAAGATGCTCGACGGCAAGCGGTCGAACGCGATCTTCTTCCTCTCCGCCAAACTGCCGGCCATTTCCGAGCTGCGGCGGGCGATTGTTGAGCTCGACGAAAAGGTGGTGACGCGTGAAATGGCGTCGCAGCTGATGAAGGTCACGTTTGAGCACGAGACGTTTTCGGAGGAGGTGCACGCCATCAACGCATACCCTGCGGACGCAGAGATTCCGCTGGACAAGCCGGAGCAGTTTATCCGCGACTTTGTGGCGATTCCCAACGTGCAGGAGCGGCTGAGCGGGCACCTGTTCCTGCTCTCGTTTGACGAGAAGCTGGCGGACGTGCAGCCGCCGCTGGAGACGTTCATCGAGGCAGTGGCGCAGCTCGAGTCGTCGACGGCGTTTGCGACGACACTCTCGGTGGTGCTCTCTGTCGGCAACTACCTTAACGGGTCAACGTCGCGCGGACAGGCTGACGGCTTTGACCTCGAGGCGCTCAAGATGACGTACAACACCAAGTCGATGGACAACAAGTCGACGGTGCTCGACTACATCGTGTCGCTCATCCGGCGCGACTACCAGTCGGCGGCGTCGCTGCCGGAGGAGCTCTCTGCGCTGGAGGAGGCGAAGAAGTACCCGCTGCAGATGCTCGAGGGCATGGTCAACTCGCTCAAGGCCAAAGTCGCCGAAGTGGCTGACGACACGGCCAAGGCGTGCGAGGCAATGGACGAAGACGACGCGTTTGTGGAGCGTGTTCCGGCGTTTGTCGACGACGCGTCGGCGCTGATGGAGAAGCTCTCGCAGGACGTGGAGAAGGCCAAGGAGAAGTTCAAGGAGGTTGCCATCTTCCTCGGCGTGCCCAAGGCCAAGGTCGGCAACGTCAAGCCCGAGGAGATGCTCGCCTCGGTCCACACCTTTACTGAAGAGTTCAAGAAGGCGTACATCAAGCTCGAAAAGGCAGCGCAAAAGGCAGCCAAGGAGGCGGCGCGGGCCAAGAAGGCGGCCGGCAAGGGCAAGAAGAAGAAGAAGAAGGGCAAGTCCAAGGAGGCCGACGACGACGACGCCGAGTTGAGCAAGAAGTCACGCAAGAAGCGCGGAGCCAAGATCGGCGCCGGTGATGATCCCATCGCCTCGCTTGTCGAGTCGCTCAAGATGCAGAAGTGAACAAGGTCCATGATGGTAGCGGGGCGGGCGGGGACACAACTCGACAGAGCGGAGGGGGGGCGAGCCATGCATTCGAGTCTGGAGCCGAATGTGCATCCGACATGTGTGGATGAGGGTACGAGAGGAGGTTGGAGGTTGGAGGGAGTGGGGGGGAGTGGGGGGGGGGGGGGAGGGGTACGGGGAGGGGGGTTGGGGGAGGGGAGGGGGGAGCGCGTCAGTGGGGTGGGCGGGTGGGCGGGGGCATGGGACTGATTGCGATGGGATTTGGCGGGGTTGTGGACGGGAATGGTATGTGGTGGTTGTCGTGGCTGTCGTGGTTGCGCTGGTTGCCGTGGCTGCTATGGTTGTGGTCGTGGTTGTGGTCGTGGTGATGCTGGTGATGGCGGTGGCGATGCGGAGACAGTCGAGGCGCTCAAGGCGTGTCATGCGGCGCATCCGTATCTCAAGTTTGCTGGGAGG